CACTTGGGCAGCGGGCTCCGCGCTCCCCTCCATCTCCTCTCTCCCTCGCTTTCCCTCCCCCCAGAAACACCCTCCTCTAGCTCCCCTGCCACCCTGGGAGCCGGCACAGCTGCCCTGGGAGTCGGCACAGCTGCCGGCCGCACCTGGAGCCCTTTGGGTTGAGGGTGGGGGCCATGGCGGCGCCGGTGAGCAGCATCACGCTGGTCAGCTGCCGCCGGTAGGCGTCCAGCCTGCCAGCGGGGCCCAGGGCACGAGCACCGGAGCGCGTGGTCAGGAAGGATCGAAGAGGGTGGATGGCCAGACAGGCAGGCTGGTGGCGGGCGGTGGCGGGGACCTTGGGCGCCGCCCGTTGGCAGCCACAGGCGGCGCCGCCAGGGAGCTGCCACCCGTCAGTGCCAGCACCTCCAGGCAGCCCAGCCAGCAACTCACCCGCGCTGCATGGCCTCCGGGAGGGAGGCGGTGGCCGAGGAGAGCGCTGCCGCTGCCTCCTGCAACCCCTGCACCACCTTCAGCCCCATGTAGCGCATGCTGGGGGCTCGATGCGCCATGCTGCCTGGCTGGGGAGGCCTCTGGGCCGCTGGGAGAAGAGGGTGACAGGGGGTGCGTGACTATATGAAGCGCAAGGCCAGACTCGGGAGACCAGCAGCAGCAGAGGGGTTCAGGGATAATTGAGACAATGACGAGTCTCAGCTGCATTTTGGGCCCAATCCTTGCGCGCTGCTGCGTGTGCTGCCCTCGTGCGCCCATCACCCTAGAGCCCCTTGTGGGAACGCAACAAGTCAATTCTGATCGAGATTAAACACCCGCCCGGCCAGCAGCCGTCTGCAAGGCCAGCCCACAGCATTGCGAGTCGTCAGCACCCTGCCAGGGCACGCAGGCGATGGCGGGCGCAGCAGCAGACCATGCAGAAGACTTGAGAGCGCTGTACGATGGCGGCGGGATCAGCGGCGTGCTGCCCACCTCCAGCGCGGCCCCGGCGCCGCTCCCGTCGGCGCCGATGCCGCCGATGCTGGGCCCCGCCGGTGACCCGGACCCGGCTGAGCAGGAGCCCGCGAAGCAGGCGGGCGGCTGGTGGGCGGCGTTCAAGGGAGCCGTGAAGAAGCTGAAGCGGGAGGTACTGGCGCTGCACTACGCCACCCACGACGCGCGGCTGGGCGTGCTGCCCCGCCTGCTGGCCTTCCTGGCCATCGCCTATGCCCTCTCCCCGCTGGATCTCATCCCCGACTTCATCCCCGTGCTGGGGTTGGTGGACGACGTGCTGATCCTGGGAGGTGAGCCGGCTGCACACTGTGGAGGCCGGGGCGCGGCTGGCGCCTGGGTGCCGCGCTGGCCGGCCACCCCGCTGGCGCCAGGCTGCCCCCCCCCCCCCCCCCTGCCCTGCACCGACGGTTTGGGCCTGGCTGGGCCCTGGCTGCAGCCCTGCTGTTCGTGGCCATCAGGCTGATTCCGCACGAGGTGATGGAGGATGCACGACGGCGAGCAGAGGTAGGCAGGTCGGGTGCTGGTTGGGTGAGTGCTTGTGCGTGCGTCTCAACCTGCCGAGGATGCAGATGCTCCCCCCTCGAGCCCATCAGGCGAATGCCAGGTGTGGAGCCCATCCCATCCGCACACCCTCCCTCCATTGCCACACACTACTTAATGCGTGCAGCGGGAGCCGCTCCGGCTGCACAAGAACTGGGGCATGGCGATTGTGTTCTTTGCGATGTGGGACGCCCTTCTCCTCGCCCTGGTGTGGTGGCTGGCCGCCCTGGCCGCCAAGGCCCACCCAGAGCTTGATCCATACAAGGTGAGGAGTAGCATTGAGGAGTAGCATGGGGAGTATGTTGGCAGTGCGTGCCTGTGCGAGAGAGGCAGAGAAGGAAAGAGGTGAGCGGTGGAGGGGAGCGCGCAGCTGGCACCCCCTTGCACAGGAGCCCTGCATGCCCGCCCTGCTGGCCTCCAATCGCCCCTCCTGGGCCCGGCACCGCACACCCACTGCAGGTGTGGGTCGTGGTGGGGGTGGGCGTTGTGGCAGTGGTGGGAGAGCTGGCCTGGGCGCGGGCGCAGTGGCGCAAGGAGCGGCGCATGGCGGCGGTGCTCACTGCGGCGGGGACGCACGCAGACCTGCAGGAGGCGCTGCTGCAGGGCGGGACGGAGGCAGTGCAGGCCTATCTGGAGCCCTGAGGAGGGGGGCAGGAGGATGGGCGGGCAGCCTGCACGCCTCCCCCTGCCCCTCCTCCTGATGATGAGCCCCCATACCTGTGCACTGCTCATTCGGCATTCAGCATCATCCTTTCTTGAATTGTTGTTTGTTTATGGCTGCCTACCTTGTCTCCTTGTCGTATGCCTACGAATTTCCTGCATTTTGTGAGTCGCTGCTGTTTCAACAAGTGTAAACACAATGTCGACTGGCCTGTGGAGTGTATTACAAAGCTACGGAAGCTAGTATGGAAGGGAGGGATTCACATTCACAATCACTGCCAAGCAATTCAGCTGAGGGGATTCGGAAGGGAGGCGCGGGGAGGCGATTGCACCTCCGCAAGGCAGGGGCAAGAATCTGGCAGGCGTATCTACAGAACCAGAGCGACGAGGCAAACAGTGTGCGGCGCTAGTGTACAGTGCATGGCACAGGCGGGGAGTGATACAGGGTTTCAGGGGGCAGGGGCAGGCGTCTGCAGCGGGCACTAAACAGGGGGCAACGGCCAAGGAGCAAGGAGCGAGAAGAAAACCGGTGTGTTGTTGCAGCGGGGGGCGGGGGCGCACCCGGCTGCAGCCAGCGGCACGGCTGGCAGCGGCATCAGAAGAATCGTGGCAAAACGTCGGCAAGTCCTGGGGGCACAGCGGTCAGTATGTATCAATCGACATGGTATGGGCAATCATCGGGAATCACATGGCAGTGGGACGCGCAGCGGGGTCAGAGGAACCGCCGGAACAGGAAGAAAGGGGGTGGGGGCGGGGCGGCTTGGACGGGGCAAGCCTGGGCTGCTCGCCCTGAGACCACTTGCAGGGCTGAGCGTGGGCACGAGGCCACCAGCTGCTGCAGCGGAGGGCCGCTTGTCACGGCCGCCCTCCGCGGCAGCGCCTGCAGCGGCGCCCCGGCCAGCGCCCAGCCCGTGCCAGGCGGGCCCGCGGCGGTCTCAAATAAGGAGGAAATAGCGGAAGACGACCACCACCCACATGGGCAGCAGCAGCATGTGCTGGAAGTAGACAAGGTACTGCAGGGGAGGAAAGCGAGGCGGGGGAAGAAACAAAGTCGGTCCAGGGAAGAAAGCAGGGGTTCGTGCGGATGCACGCAAGAGGTGCGACACCCTGCGTGAGGTTGTCGGGCGCTGCCTGCCCGACCAAGCTAAGCCCTGTGCTGCTCCCGGCTGGCCTCCGCAGGTCCCGGCCCGCCTTTGGTTTTGCTGCCGCCGCCCCCAGAACAATGTGCCCGGCAGCATGCGGCGCGGCGGCGAGGAGCGGGCACGCACCTGCAGGAACCAGAGCATGCCCAGGTCTGGCACCCGCTCCACCAGCACGCCGTCGTGGCCCAGCAGGATTGTCATCACGCCTGCAGGGTGGCAGGGCAGCGCCGGGGCAGGAGGGCAAGATTGTCGAGACGGGACGGCGGGAAGCAGGCCGCAAAGGCCTAGGGGAGCAGCCGGACGGGCACAAGGGCTTGGCACGCGGCACCCCTCGCAGCGGCCGCAGCAGCAGCGGCGCTCGGCTGGTAGGGTCTTGGGCGCGGCAGGCGTGGCAGGCGGTGCAGGGCGGGTGCCAGGGGCTCACCAGAGACCACCGCCAGCAGCGCCGTTGCTCCATAGTTGAGGTCACCCTGCTCCGTCTGCACGCGGCAGCAGCAGCACCGGGGGCAATTCTGTTACAGCCGGCGCCTGAACACGCGGCGCACTCTCTTCGGAATGCCCAGCTGCGCTCGACGCAGGCAGACGGCACGCATGGCGGCAGCATGCCGGCAACAGGGCAGCCAGGAGCGCAGCAAGGAGGAAAGGCACGTGGCGCCCAGCAGCACACACACAGGCGCCAGGGGGGTGCCCCGCTCAAGAAAAGGAAGGGTACGCCCGTGGGCGTGGCACGGGCGTGGGTGGAGGACACCGGGTAGGGTGGGCTGCTTGCCCCGAAAGGTCTGGCTAGACTGGACTCAGCGGCAGGCCCCAGGGGGGTGCCCCCCTCACCATGCGGAAGAAGCCCTTGGTGATTGGGTCCAGGATCGGGTCGGCGGCGGTGACGGCGCGCAGCAGCACCGCCTCGCGCCGCTGCTTGGCGCGCTTCTCCAGGCCGGGGAAGCTGCGGGGCGGCGAGGGGAGGGGCGGCGGCCCGCGGGGGCAGGCGGCGCGTCAGCAGGCGGCGAGCCTCTCGGCCGGAGGGCGGCCGTCGAGCGGTCGACCGATCCTGGGCAAGATTCCTCGGGGGGCCCGGTGCCGGCATGCGTGATGCGTCTGTAGAGGCACTGTAGAGGCCGGCAGGCGCCCACACTCACTAGGACAGCAGGAAGCGGCTGGTGAAGAGCAGTGTGGTGACCACGCCCGCGGTGCCCAGGCCCACGCAGGTCCAGTACATGCTGCCGGAGTGGGAGGCCTGGTCCGCCGCCGCGGCAGCAGCGCCCGGGTCGGCCAGCGGCAGCAGCACCGCCAGGGCGGCGGCCGCCGCCAGCGCGCCGCCGCCGCTGCTGCCGGGGCTGCCGCTGCTGGGCGTGCCGGCCTCGTGCTGCTGGCTGCGGGGAATGCTCGTCAGGGCGCGGCTCGGGGAAGGGGTGTGGGGCTCGGCACCAGGCGCACGCGGCCTGCAGCGGCGGTGGCGGCGGCGGCGCTGTCAATCAGGTGCCCCAGGCAGCACGCAGCCCCCCGTTCCTCATCCCAGTGAACCTTGCGTGGTGAGGCTCACCTGAGGCGTGCAGCGACCCTCAGCGGGCAGCGCGCGGGCGCAGCCGCGCGGCTGGGGAGGCGGAGCGCCGTTTGGGCTGGGGCGCCAGCTAGCTGCATGGTGATTGACATGGCGTCGTGCAGACCTGAGGAGGAGGCTCAAGACGGCGGGATGGAGAGGGTTTGGGGAGGATGGAAGTCCAAACTGGCCAACAGCAGCCCAGGCTTATGTGGGGTTTGAGGAGGTCCCTGGAACACTTTGGCTGGTGCAGGCGGCCAAGGGGGCGGTGTTTGGCGACGGCGCGTCGTGCAGGGGCCTGTGGCGCAAGAGACGGCGTATTTTGGAGCAGCAGATGCTTGGTATGAGGGAGCGGCGGCAGAAAATCGAGTGGAGGCAGCTGCAAACTGGCGGGCAGGAGGCTGACGCACCCTTCAAATGCGGCGCTCCCGCTATGCAGCTGCTCAGCAGGCGGCGGGAGCCAGTGCCAGCTGCCAGTGCAGCATCCGTTTACCTCAGCGTGCTGCAGCATACATTCAGCCAATCGCACTGTACCAAGCCAGGCCACATGCAGCTTGGGTGCTACATGCGTTCGTAAAGAATGAAGAAGAATGACAAGCAGACGACCGCAAAGGCAGGGTTGCGTAGCGGCGGGGAACCGACTAGGGGCAAGTTTCGGGGCTGGGCATCATCAGATCGGCAATGAGGAAAGGGAGCCAGCATGCACCACACACATGCATTAGTACAGGAACGCTGGATTCCGAGGCAGGAAAAAAGCATGACTGGGTAGCGCATGGCAACAGAGCAACAATCAATGAGCGAGGCGCATGCTCAGCGCCGCAGTAGTGACTAGTACACATGAGTGCAGGCAGGCCGAGGGGCGGCGCATGAATGGGAAATGGCGCTCATGGCGGCGGCAGCAGCCTGCGGCGCCTAGCAATTAGTACAGTACACAGAGAGTGGGGCAGGGGTGGTGCTTCAGAAGGGCCGCCGGCTCGGTGGGGAGTGTGACAGGGCTGCACGACTGAGAAGAGAGGCTTCTGTTCACAGTATGCGCCCCCAGCGCAGCACAACGATGACCCACAGCGGCAGCAGGAAGCCGTGCTGGAAGATGACCAGGTACTGCGGCACAGGCAAGGGGTGGAAAGTGCGACGAGACCTCAGCTCCCCATACAACAGGCATCACCACAGGCGCCGCAGGGAGCAGGCCAGCGGCTGCCGCTGCCACCAACAGGCCGCAAACCGCACCTGCAGGGCGTCGCGGAGCGCAAAGTCGGGGATGAAGGGCAGCATGACGCCGTCCTTGCCCACCAGGCACTCCAGCAGGCTGCACACCACCGCCAGCAGCGCCACGGCGGCATAGTCCAGATCACCCTCCTCCTGCAGGCAGCAGGGCCAGGCCAGGGCGGGGTGCCACAACCATGCCCCCACATTCCTTCCAACATCGCAACGCTCACGGCGCAAAAGACCAGCTGAGGGGGCAGCCCCAGACGGCCACGCTGGGCGTTGGGTCGGCAGGCACCGGCAGGCACAGAGGCTCGGCGCGGGCCGGCCCCAGCCAGCTCGCAGGCAGCACGCACCGTCTGGCCAAAGAAGCGGCGGCGCAGCGGCTGCAGCAGCGGGTCGAACAGCGTGACCGCCACCCAGGGCAGCCGCCAGCGCTGCTGCTCCGCCTGGCGCTCCAAGCTGGGGTAGCTGCAGGGCGGGGGGGAGAGGGCAAGGCATTGCAGTGAGTTGGGATGGCCCCTGTTGGGCGCCTTTCCTTTTCCGTCCAGCGGTCCGGTGGCAGGCAGCCAGCAACCGGACGCGGGCCTCGGCAGCTCATGCAAGGCATGAGGCACCAGGGCAGCAGGCGGGCAGGGGGCTCACTAGGAGACTAGGAAGCGCGAGGTGCACACTAGGGTGACCAGCAGACTAGCAGCACCCACAGCAGTGCAGCCCCAGCACACGGTCTGCCAGGACTGCTGCTGCTGCAGGCTGTACGGCACCAGGGTGGCCAGCACAGACGAGGCAGAGGCGGCGGTGGGCAGCACCAGCGGCACTGCCGTTATTCCGGCGGCCACGCCCGCCACGCCCGCCATGCTGCCGCCGTTGCTGCTGCTGCCGCGCTCACCAGCTCGACGATCTAGCTGGCTGGCTGCCTGCTGGCTGCCTTGCTGTTCAGGGACCTGCCCCAAAGTCTGCTGCTGGTCCGATGGCCTGCATGCGGCAGCAAGCAGCACAGGTGAAGTCAGCGTGGTAGGTCGGCAGGCGGCGGCGCCCAGTGGCGGCGGCGGGTGCAGACAACTTCCCGCCACGGCGCGCTGCCCTCTTACAGCCGGCTGCTTGAGGCTCGGGCCGCTATCCGGCGGGTGGCTGCTGTCGCTGGCGGGAGCCGGTTTGAGTTCGGGGAGCCGCAGCACCCCCGCCGGCTCCCCTGCCGCGCTGCCGCCGTTGGCAGGCGGGCTGTGCAGCCCAACATGTCGAACTGGCTAGGCTAGAGGCGCGCTGCTGGCGGCAGAGAGGAGTGTCCGCTTTACCGCTTTCAGCTGAAGGCTGCTGGACGTGGAACAGAGCGGACGGCACAGGGAGGGCAGGAAGGATAGGACGACGCTGCGTGGTTTGGGGCCGGGCCAAATGTTGGGGTGGCGCGCTCCCCGCCCGCTGTGCCACGGTGCTGCGCTCTCTTATGCGCCTGCGGCCAGCCCATGCTTGGGCCGACACATTTTCTGCTAGGGTGAATCAATCCTAGTCATGAGAAGCGTGATGAGCGGGTTTATTCAGGTACCCCTGCATTTTGCAGCTGACAAGCTAAATCCTTGGTGGGCAAAGCGGCTGTGGCTAAGGTATGAATGGAGTAGAGGCGAGTAGCTAACTCCTGGAATGGTTGCATGGCATGCACAAATGATAAATGCAGGGGTGAAGAACAGAGTAGCCACCACCGGATCGACGGGCGCCGCCCTACAGGAGGTCTGCCAGAGGGTCGGCCGACCGCCCCGCGCCGCCGCCTCCGCTGCCGCGGCGCAGCTGCCGCCCCGCCGCCGCCGTCTCCACCAGCTGGCGCTTGAGCAGCTGGGCGTGCTTGTCGGGGAGGGCGGCGGAGCGGGTGGAGATGCGGGGCGCGTGGCTGTCTTCCACCTCAGCATACCCCACCTGCTGCGACATGTCGAGGTGCGGGACCTGCGGGACCAGGCAGGAGGAAAGGACGAAAGACGACATTTGGAAGGACGAGGCATTCCCGTTGCCTGAGCAGTCGGGCGAGCGCTGTACAGGGAGCTGCGGGGGCTGCTGGGGGCATGCCAGTCGACCGCACAGCCAGCAGGGCCACACGACAGGCTGACAGGGCAGGCAGCCAGGCAGCCAGGCTGAGCACCCACCGCGTCTGGAGGCTCGCTGCCGCCCCGGCCCCGCCCCGACCGCCGCAGCTGCTGCGCCCTGCCGCTGCTGCCGCCGCTGGCGGCGGCGCCGTCTTCGGGGAGGGCGCGCTTGGCAGCGCGGGCGCCGCCGCGGGAGCCTCCCGCGCTGCCGGTGCTCATGCTGCTCTCCGCGGGGACGGCGGCCCCGCGCCTGGCGCCACCAGCCCGTCCGCGGGCGGCGGGCGGCGGCATGGCCAGCGGGCAGTCCATCTGAGTGCCCAGCATCAGGCCCCGTGGGGGTCCCTCAGGCGCCAGCCCTCCCAGCATGTTGCCCAGCCTGCGGTGGTTGCAGGCGGCAGGGAACGGTTGACATTACAGTGGACAGTACAGCGGACAGTACAGCTCTCAGCGAGGTGCAGCACGGCACAGCGGTTGGGAGCTGGCAGCAGGACGGCAGTTGCTACAGCGCCCGTGGTTGCTCTCACAGCAGCCCTTACACCCGCACCTCTCCACCGCCCTCCCAAAGTCGTCCTGATGCTCGCTGCCACTGCCCAGGGCCGCCGCCTGAGCTGCTGCCGCCGCCGGGACATCAGGCTGCGGCGCACTGGCTGGTGCTGCCGCTGCCGGGGCCTGGGCTGCAGGTGCGGCCTCTGCGGCGGCCTCCACACGCTCTGCGGGGCGCAGCCGCGACGAGGACCTCAGGGCCCGGCTGCCGCTGCGCGCAGCTGGCTGCTCGGCCTGCGGTGTTCCTGCTGCTGCTGCTGCTGGTGCTGCTGGTGGTGCTTCCATTGCCGGGGCAGCCACTGGCGGCCGTGATGGCGCCTCTACCGCGGCTGGCAGCGCTGCATCTGGGTCGCTCTCGAACAGGGCGGCAAACGGAGAGGCGCTCTGCGGCTGCTGCGGTTGCTGCGGCTGCTGTGCCTGCTGCGCCTGCTGCGCCTGCTGCGCCTTGAGCCCCTCATCCAGGCTGGCCATCGCCTCATCCAGCGCAGACGGCTGCCGCCGCAGCCCCTGCGGCTGCCGCTGCGGGAAGGTCGTCGTCACCTGCCGCTTCCCTCCCAGCTGAATTAGGTCACCGTCGGGCGCCGCTGCGGGGCCGCTCCCGCCGTTGCTGCCCTGCGCCGCATTCTCGTCGTTGCCGGCGCCTGGCGGCTGCTGGGGCTGCTGCGGGTGCTGCGCCGGCCAGCCGCCCGCCAGGAGCCCCTCCGCCGCCGGCGCCGGCGCTGCCACGGAAGCTGTGGCGGCAGCAGTACCAGTGGCCGCCTGCGTCGCCCGCATGCGCTCACGCAGCGAGAGACGCCTGCCACCCATCCCATGCTGCTGCTGCTGCTGCGCGGGCGGTGGCGGCAGCACCAGCTGCGGCCGCTCTGCTGCAGACAGCCCTGCGGGCAGCGCAGGGCCCGCAGGCGCCGAGGCGCGCAGCGCCGGCGCCGGCGCCGCTCCACCCCTGCCTGCCAGCAGCTGCGTCGTGACCACCTGGGACGGTACCGCTGCTGCAGCCGGGCCTGCCGCCGCCCGCGCCGCTGCCGGCTGGCCGGCGGGCGGTCGCGGGAAGTACTTGTCTTCCGCCTGCCGCCGCCCCACCTGCACTGTGTCCACCAGCCAGTCTGCGGTGACGGGCACCACCCCAAACGCCGTGCAGTGCTCGAACTTGCTGCCTGCGAGGGCAGGGGGCGGCAGGCACGGGAGTAATAATGAGCGGGGGAGACTTGAACCGGGTCTGCAGGTGGCGAGTCGGGTGCTCTTTCTATGCACCAGGCTGGCCGCACTGTTTCTGCCGTGGGCAGCGTGCGGTCACGCTGCTCAGCACCACACAGACATGAGCACCGCCTCCCCGCCTCGGCCGCCCCGCCCACCCTTTGCCTCCGGCAGGATGAGGTGCGTGTTGCGGCGGGTCATGCAGTCCAGCGTGACGCGTCCCCCCAGCACCTCCACCGTGCGCGCAATGGCGGCGCGCACCGCCACATCATACCCAGAAGTGCTGACGCTGCAAGGGGAGGGAGGGGCAGGGGGGTCGAGAGGGTGGCGGAGGTGATGAGGTGGGCGTGCTAGGGCGCAGGGGAGCGGCGTGCATGCTGCGGGCGAAGGCTGGAGGCCCTCGCCGCACGCGGCCGCATGCGGCGCCCCGCATGCGGCGCCGGAGCAGGGGTGCACGCGACCCGGCGGCAGCGCGTGCCACAGCCAGCTGGCGGCGCCAGCTCACACTACGTCCGCCATGCTGGGCATGGGCAGCGGGAAGGGGAGCGGCTGGTACAGCGGCGCGCCGCGGTTGGGCGCCAGAGGCTCCCCGGCCACCAGGCTGCACTCCAGCCAGTACAGCGTGAAGCGGTGGCGGTCCTCCACTGCGGGGGTGGGGTGGGGTGGCGGCAGGCGGCGGCAGGCGGCGGCGCGTGGGGCGAGGCCATGACGGAGTGGGGCGGGGAGACTGGGGCAGGGACACATGCCAGGCTGAAACATGGCAGCAGCGAGGGCCCCATTCCGTGTGCCACCCAGCCAGTCGGCGTAAATTGGACTGACAGTCCAGTCCAGCCAGTCCAGTTCAGCCACCCAGTGCAGCCCAGCCAGCCAGCCAGCCTGGCAGCCTGACAGCATGCCCCACACACCCAGCCCAGGAAGCCTGCCACCCACCCACCCACCCCCCCCACACACACACACCACCATGCTCACCCATCCTGAAGTCGGGGCAGGCGCTGCGCAGCTGGGTGATCTCGTTGGCCAGCAGGCTGGGAGGGCAGATGGCGTAGGCCTTGGACTTGTCTGCGGGAGCAGAGCAGGGCAGGCGGGGGCGGGCAGCAGGTGGCGCGGCTGCAGCCTGCTGCCTGCCTGCTGCCTGCTGCCCGGCCGGCCTCGGCACCATGCCTCACCGCCATTACCACTGCACACGCACCAGCCACCCGCTGCCTGCACGCCTAGCAGCCCACCACAACCACAGCCAGCACTGCTTGCCACACGCCACAGCAACCCGCCATGGCAGCAGCACACCAGCAGCCACCCACCCGGCACCCGCTTCATGGTGGTATCTGTGAACACGCGGCCGCCAGCCTGGCGGATGAGCGCCACCGCCGCCGCCGCCTCCTCGCTGCCCCGCACCGCGGCCATCGTGAAGTAGCAGCCCGTCAGCGGGCCTGCGGGCGGTGTGGGGCGGGGTGTGGGTGGGGTGTGGGGTGTGGGTGTGGTGGGCGTGTGGGTGCGTGGGTGAGTGGGTGAGGTGGTGGGGTGAGAGTGTGCGTGTGGGGTTGTGGGTGTGGTGGGATGAAGTTGAGTGGGCGGGAGCGCCGGGCCGGGCCCGCAGCCGGCAGCGCCGTCTGCCCCACCTGCCGGCGCTGTGGCGGGCTGGCTGCGCCCCTGCTCCCCCGCATCGGCGCTGCTGCTGCTAGTGGTGCGCTCCACGCGCGCTGCAGCCTCCAGCGCCGCGGGCCGGCGCCTGTGGGAGGCAGGGGGGCAGGCGAGTGGTGGGCAGGGCCGGCCGACACGACAGCGCCAGCAGCGCCAGCAGCACATACGTGCCTGGAAGATGAGGGCCGCCTGCTGATGGCATGCAGGAGGAGGGGGTTGCCTGGCTGTGCACCACCAGACAGACAGACACACATGCACGCACAATGCAAGCACACGCACACCAGTGCACACCTGTGCTCCGAAAGCGTGGACAGAGGCACCAGGTATGCGTCGGGGCGCAGGCGGCGCTGCGCCGCCACGCTCTGTGGCAGGGGAGGGGCAAGCAGGGCGGCGCCGCGTCAGGTGTGCACAATTGCGGCCCCCATCGTGAGCACTCTGCTTGCCTCCACAGCCCATCCAATGACACACACACACGCACACACGCACACCACCTGCTGCGCCCGCAGCCCCTCTCTGTGCCTCCTGCGCCCTCCCTGCACCCGCGCCCCCCTCCTCGCACCTGGCGCAGCCACTCCAGGCCGACCGCCAGGCAGGAGCGGTGGTTTGACAGGAAGTCCAGAGCCCCTGCCGCCTCACCAGGCTCCAGCTGGCTGCCCACCTGCACGCCGCGGACGGCCAGGCAGGGGAAGCGCGGAGCGGCACAGGGGGAGTGCTGCTGGGCGGAGAGGTGCCACCGGGCTGCCAGGACCACGGCGGCCAGCTGCTGTGCTCTGCAGCAACGCCTGCCACCACCCAGCAGGGAGGCAAGCGCCGCAAACGGGTGCACGCCACCCACCCCGGTGATACGCGGCGCGCCGGCCGCCGACAAAGCCCCCGCCCGGCGACCCGCCCGCGCCCCTTTGCCCTTGCCGCTGCCCCGCTGCCCGCCAGCTCACCACGAGGTGGTTCAGGTCGTCGCGCCAGTCGGCAAAGCGCAGCGCGGCGCCGCGCCGCACCAGGCCCAACGCCTCCTGCTCCTCGCTGGGAGAGCAGCCCAGCAAGCGCAGCCTGACCGCCTCCAGAAAGGGAGGCGTCTCGTCGTCCCACTCCAGCTGCTCCGCCAGCTGCGCCACCAGCAGCGAGCTGCGGCCCCGCGTCTGGCGCCCCGGAAGATCCTCGCACGCGGCTGCCGCCGACGCCACCGCCGACGCCGCCGCCGCCGACGCCGCCGCCGCCGCCGCGGCGGCTACCGCGGCGTCGGCGGCCGCGCCGCGGCGCAGCAAGCGGCTGCGCCGCCGCGGCTGCTGCTTCTGGGTGGGGCCGGGGGCGTCGCCGCCGCCGCCGCCAACGGCGGTGCAAGCGGAGGGAGCCACCGCGGAAACGTCCATGCTGGCGGCTGGCTTGAGGCCGGACACAGACACGCCGGCCGCGTCATCCGCCACCGCTGCGGGCGCTGCAGCAGTCGGCTGGAAGCCCGGCGGCGGCGGCACCAGCAGGGCCGCGCCGGCGGGCCCCGCCCGCGCCGCCGCCGCCGCGGGCGAGGCCTCCTGGACTGCAAAGGGCGCCTCGTCCTGGCACCACCCCGCCGCTACGCTGTCGTACACCCACTTGGTGCTCACCACCTGGATACCGTTCTGCACGGCAAACCTGCGGTACAGGTGCGGTACAGGATGGGGAGGGGCGAGCGGCGAGTGCGTCGGCGTGTGGGCAGGCAACGGCGGAGGCGGGGTGTGCTGCGGTTGAGGCTGGGCAGGGCGGCGACGGGTGCTACACCGGGCTTGCGAGGCCCGCGTCATCCCCCCCACGGGGTAGCAGCCAGGCGCGGCTGGGTGGTGCTCGGCACGCAGCCAGCCCAGCCTGCCTAAACGTAATCAGTATCTCCAGGGACTCACAGGTACTTGGCGGTTCCTGTGGAGTTGGTCACTAGGTGGGTGCACTTCTTGTCCAGCGCCGGCGAGTGCTGGCCGCCGCCGGCCGCCACCGCCGCCGCCAGCTCCGCCTTGCTGGCCGCGCTCAGGCCCGACAGGCAGACGGTGAGGCCGTGGAAGGGGCCCACGCGGTAGCAGTCCAGGGGCAGCAGGCGACCCGCCTGCGGCGGCGGCGGGATGGGAGCGGCGGCGGCGGCGGCTGGGAGGGTGGCGGCTGGGGCGCGGCGCGCCAGGCCACGCGGATTGGCAATTGCATGCCGCCGACGGATGCGTGTATGTGCTTGAGACACGAGGCTGCGAGGCGCTAGCTTGCCCCAGCTTGCCTGCGTGCTGGCGGCCAGCCACTCTGGGGTGACCACCGGGGTGTGGGGGTGCAGGCGGAGCAGGGCGCGGTACTTGGGGGACCGCACGCTGCGTGTGATGACCAGATGGGGCGGGTCACGGGAGGAGAAGGAGGACAGCGGCACCCCGCCGCAGTGCTCCACTGTGGCTGCCAGCTGCTCGCGCTCGGCGGGCTTCACAGCCGTCACCAGCACCCACTGGCCCGCCAGCAGGTCCGCCATGGCGCCGGCTGTTCGTATTGTTCAACTTGATCAGACAAACCGCCGCATTAGGGTGTGGGGGGCGCTTGCAGCAATGTGAGGCACTCGTGCAGGCGGCTGAGGGTGCGGGAGAAGGGCGTGGAAGGCGTAAAGCGGCGCAAGCAGCAATGTCTGCTGCGTGCTGTGACCTGCGGGGCTGCTGCGCTTGCCGGCGGGCGTTGGGCGCCCCCATCCATCTCCCATCACTTGCATTGCGGGTTCCAGGCACTTCTGGACCCTGCAGACAGGCCAGAAGGTCCAGGGCACAGCAGTGAACCTTCGCCCCCCATCGAGCACAGAACCCCGGTCTGCGCCGGTGCTGCACCCTCTCCTGCACCTCTTTCCGGCACCGAAGCTTGTTGGAAGCGCGGCAGCCTGCGATCAGAAATGACGAAGGTGCTGGCGATCGTGCTGGTGGCGCTGGCCGCTGGGGCGGCCTGCGCAACGGCACAGGAGGCCCCAGACGTGAGTGCCAGCGCTGCGTGCCCCACCGCCGGCCCCCACCCCGCCCGCGCACTACCGGCGCGACACGCCGCCGCCGCCGGCAGTACGCCCTCTGTGCACCCTCGGTGTGCACCCTCCCTCACTCCCTCTCCGCTGCCGTGCAGTGCGAGGCGCCGCTGGCCCAGCTGCGCGATCAGCTGGAGCGCGCAAGGGCGGACCTGACGGCGGCGGAGGGGACCAGCACAAGCTGCTCGGAGGAGGCTGCCGGCCTGCGGGCGAAGCTGCAGGAGGTGGGTGCATGGGGGCCAGCACACACGTGCCAGGTCACGCGGCACATGCACAGGTACCGGCTGGCCCGCGGCAGCACGCAGCACGCAGCAGCCGCTCCTGCCCATCTGCTGGCCAGCCCAGCGCAGCCCAGCGCATCCTGCAGGCAAAGCTGCTCATCCTGCCCTGGGGCCTCCTCCCAGCCCCACATGCTGCCCCTGCCCCTGCCACCTCCACCCATCCCTGCCCCCACACTGCCGTCGTGGCGCAGGCTGAGGGCGCCCTGGCCGCCAGCGCGGACGCGGCCAAGGAGCTGCAGGCCAAGCTGGAGGCGGCAGAGGCGGCGCTGGCGGCGGCGCCTGATGCCGCCGCCCTCCAGGCCGAGAAGCGGGAGCTTGCGGTGCGCCTGGCGCGGCGACGGCTGTGCTGGGCGGCGGCTGCGTTGGGCTGGGCGCCGGCGGTGTTGCGCTGTGCTGCGGCTGGCTGCTGGGCTGCGTGCCGGCTGCCTGCAAGCACTGGCTGCGCATGCCATGCCCGCGCGCACGCTCCAGCCCGCTTCGCCTCCCCTGGCCCTGCCTGGCCACCCGCCTGGCCACTTGCCTGCCCACGCGCCCCTGCCCCCGCATTCCCGAACCCTGCCCCCCTGCCACCCTGCCCCCCGTGCCGCCTGCCGCAGGCGGACGCCAAGATCGCCAAGGACAGCCTGTCGGCAGCCAGGCAGAAGCTGGCGGCGCTGGAGGAGCGGGCCGGCACGTGCGACGCCGAGCTGCACCTGGCGCAGACCGAGCTGCAGAGCGCCAAGCTGGAAGTGGCGGGGCTGCAGGACAACACAGAGGTGGGCTGCGGGGCGGGCGGTCGTTGTTGGTGCCGGTATGAGTGTCGCAGTGTGTGTGGGTGGCGTGTGTGTGTGTGTGTGTGCGCGCGCGTGCGTGTGTGGTTGTGTGCCTTTGTGTGTGTGTGTGTGTTCCAGCATGGATGCGTGTTGTGGCGGTGGCTGGACGCACAGCGGCCTGCCTTGTAGGGGCCGGGCCGCGCACCTCCATTGCTGCCGCCGCACGCCCCGGCTGCTGCCCCGACGCGGCACCGCTCCCCGACGCCCGCCCGCTCCCCCGCCGCAGCAAGCCCGCGTCGCCATCACCAGGTGCATGGGTCAGCAGGAAGAGCTGAAGGATGCCGCGGAGCATGCGGAGAAGAAAGCGCAGGAGGCGAGCGACGAGGTGGCGAAGGTGGGGTGGGCGGTGTGGGCGCCTCCCTTTGCCAGCCTGCCTGGGCTGGCACGGCTGGTGCTGTGCTGCGCCGAACGCAGCCGGCGGCAGCCTCCCCGCGCCTCCCGCTGCCCTCGCTGCCCCTGCTGCCTGGCTGGCTGGCCACCTGCCTGGTGCCCTTGCGCCGACGTGCCCCTAGTGTTCCCACCAGGGGGTCGAGTGCTGGGGCCCCAGGCCCTTGCCTCCCCTCCCAACCACACATTGCCAACACACGCCTGGGCGATGCGCACCCGCATCCATGTCCACCCCTACTTTCCTCCTCCCTGCAGCTGCGCGCTGAGGTGGCGGCCGCCGAGGGCGCCTGGCTGCCGCCGTGGGCCGCCGCCAGCCTGGGCCCCGCCCTGGCCCGCACCCAGGAGCTGGCGAAGCAGTACAGCGTGCAGGTAGGCAGTACAGTGCTGCAGTACAGGCCACTATTGTGGAAACCTGCAACAAACGCAATGCACTGAGCACGCTCGGCCCGGTGCGGAGCATGTACATAACAGCCAGGGACTGCCAGCAGCCCCGCCAACTCATGCCCGCCGGCCTGCTGTGGCGGCCCCCGTTTCGCTCCCTGCGTGCAGGGCAGCGCGGCGGCCCAGCAGGCGTGGCAGTCGCACGGCAAGCCCGCGCTGGCCCGTGGCCTGGCGGTTGCTCATGAGAAGGCGTCCCGGCTGAATGCCGCCATCGAGGCCAAGGCCGGCGACAGCTGGCCCAAGGTCAAGGCGGCTGCGGCGACGGCCGCCTCGGCCGCCGCCACGCACGGCGCCGCGGCCGCCGCCGCCGCACGCAAGGCCGCGCTGGCGGCGTGGGAGTCGGAGGCGGTAGCCGCTGTTCGGCCCGCGCTGGTGGCGGCGTGGAGGCGCGCCGCGGCGCAGGCGCGGGTGGTGCTGGGAGAGCTGGAGGAGCTGCTGATCAGGTGGGGGAGGCTGTGTGTGTGAGTGTGTGTGTGTGCAGGGTGCGGTGCCTTTGTGTGTTTGTGTTGCTGTGTGTGCGTGTGTGTGTGCCTTCGTATGTGTGGCAGGGTGCGGTTCTGGGAGTGCGTGGGTGTGGAAAGCAGGCAGCCTGTCGGCTCGGAATGAGCTGGCACGCAGTTGCACCCAAGCCGCCCACAGGCTCAGTCGCCGCTGAGGGCGGCCGCTTTGCCTGCCCTCCCCCCCGTCCCTTCGCCAACCCCCTCTCTCGCTCTCTCTATCTCTCACGCACCCACACACCCACGCGCGCACTCACACACTCCTCTGCTTGCCCTCCTCCCCAAGCAGGGTGCTGGCCAAGAACAACAACACGGCGGCGCTGGCCCGCCGCCCCTACGTCACCTACCTGGTGCGTGGAACCCTAGTGGGCAGGCTGCCTCCTGTCGCGTCTGGTGGCCCCTTGCTTCTGTTCCCTTGCCTCTGTTCTTCTCCTGCTGTGCTCCCGCCTCGCATCGCCTTCCCTGTGCCTTATCGGCTGCCCGCCGCGCCTGGCCGCCCGTCTCCCTGCAGGTGTACGGGGCCCTGGTGGTGCCGCTGGTGGCGTTTGGCATGCCGCTGCTGGGCCTGCGGCGCTCCAAGGCCAAGGTTGGCCCTGCCTGCCTGCCTACCTGCCTGCGTGTCTTCTTGTTTGCCGAGCTGGCTCCTGCAGCGAGGGGACAGGGGTCTCGGTTGTGGTGTGTTGGACAGGCGATCATGGAGGGTGCCTACCGCCGCTGTTGCGCTCATTGTCCTGCTGCCCCGCGCATCCCGCTCTGCCTTCCTCCTGTGCCGCAGCCCGCGGGCAGCAGCCCCAGCTCGGGCGGAGCCCCCATGAGCACCAAGAAGAAGAAGAGCAAGGTGGGTAATGTGTGTGTGTGCATCCCTTGCCAGCGTGTGTGTGTTGAATGTAAGCCCTGTGGTGTGTCGCAACGCGCAGCGACCTTCCCCTTGCCGATGCACTCGTTCCTCCTGCCCGCTTGATCCCCGCCTGCCCACGGCCGCTCCCTGTGCAGCCCGTAGGCCGGGCGCATTAGCGGCGGGCATGCGGCGGTACAGTACGCCTGCTGCGGCGGTCCACATACACCACCAGCTGGCAGCTCGGCTGCCCTGGCAGGGCTGTGAAGAGGCAAGGGGTGCAGCTGCAACCCTGGCGGCTGCGCACCGCGCCCCCTGTCGTCTATGACGGGTGGCACCCTACGCAGAGAAGCTCCCTGGCGTGCACCCACGCGCCTTGCGCTGCTGGCTCCCCTTGCGGTGCCCTGATGGCGGCGATGTGGCTTGCTGCCCCCCAGCCTGCTGTCTTCCTCGCTGTGTACCACATAACAAGTATATCCAAGAGCTTGCATTTTCTTCATTTAGCTGCGCTCAGTAGCAAGGCAAGTCGTAAAGTATATAGACTTGTCTTTTCATCCTGGCATTCCCAGGTCAGGTTGCTGCCAATGCTGCTGCAACAGGGGGGTCAGGCGTCCAGCAGGCACAGCGCCAGGATGTGCCCGCTCAGCTCTGCCGGCAGCACTGCACTGCTGTGCTGCGCGCGCACCAGGCTGAGTGCTGCTGCTCGCAGCCGCTTGCGCTGGTCCTTCCCCAGCCGCCCCACCAGCCACCCCGCCTCGGCCGTCGAGCGCTGCAGGACGGCTGGCAGCGCTCGAGCCAAGTTGGGGCAGGGAGCAGGAATCGAGCGCCACTGCTCCTGGGTGAGCGGCAGGTGGGCCACCAGGTCGGCGCAGAGGGCGGCAGCGCGCTGGCTGTACTGCACAGGATGCCCAGGGCTGGCTGCACCGCTGGCGCCGCCCGCAACAAGCAGCGGGCCGTCTCCACGACTTGCTCTGTCATACGGTGGTTGGCGTAGAGCAGCACAAGGTGCAGCGGTGTGCGGCCAAAATCATCCAACGCAAAAGCCACCTCTGGTGCTGCCTCCAGCAGCAGCTGCACGGATGCTGCATTGCTGCGATAGGCGGCGTGGTGGATGGGGGCCCACTTCTTCGCGTCGAGCACTGTGGCTGCTGCCGGTGCCGCCAACAGCAGCAGCTTCAACACTTCAATGTCCCCACGGTAACCCAAATGGTGCAGCGGTGTCCAGCCGTAATCATCCACTGCCAAGGCTGTGTCTGGGGCAGCCTCCAGCAGCAGCCTCGCCACCCGCTGGTGGCCATTAAAGCTGGCAAAGTGAAGCGGCAGCCAGCCGTACGCGGTGGCTTGATCCGGCCTGACACCTTCTGCCAGCAGCTGCCGCACCGCCGCCTCGTCGCCCTTTCTAGCTGCTTGATCGAGCGTGTCTGCCAGTGCCATCACACACAAGATACAGCCCTGCACCAGGCGGGCTGGCGGGTTGGCGGCAGCGGCCTCAGCCCAGGCAGCGCCCCTGCACATGCAGGCTGGAGGCAGCAACGCAGGGCTTGCTCCTCCCCACCGAGCCACTGCTGCCAGGAGGCTCACCCGGGGGAACGAGGAGAGCACCTCGAGGCGAGAGCAGCCACAAGCCGACCAGGCGACCAGGCGTGCCTCTTGTTCGCTGCTGCCTGTGCCTTGTGTCATAAACAACCCCAAGCAGGGGGGGTACGAGCAGGCCCAGGACGCCGCGCTGCGCTGAGGCGCAGCAGGCACGCCCCGCCGCACCTTGCCGTCGTGCCACCTGCGCCGTGTGTGGAATGGCAATCGGGAACTTGCGCCGCTGTCCCCCAGCTGCAAGGAGGGATCGTGTTAGTGTGGCCAGGCCGGTGGTGCCTGCTCATCTCCCTTCCCACCAACGTCTGCCATCTGAGCGCTGTGGCTCGCCCAATCGCTGCACCATTAAATTCTGCTGCACGCTGAGAGCAGAATTGTAATTTAAAAACATGAAAACTGTGCAGAACAGCGTAACCAAAAATGAAGGAGGTGGTGCGCACAAGGGGCACAAGGGGCACGGGCCGCCGCCAATGCAAAGCAGCAGGGACGGTCAGCGGTGCAGCAGGCACAGCGCCAAGATGCGCCCACTCAGCTCTGCCGGCAGGGACGGCCCGCCCCGCTGCGCCCGCGCCAGGCCGAGTGCCGCCGCCCGCAGCGTTGCACGCTGCCCCTCGTCCAGCCGCCCCACCAGCCACCCCGCCACGGCCGCCGAGCGCTGCAGGACATCTGGCAGCGCTCGAGCCAGGTCGGGGCAGGGCGCAGGAATCGAGCGCCACTGCTCCTGGGTGAGCGGCAGGCGGGCCACCAGGTCGGCGAAGAGGGTGGCAGAGCGATGGCTGTTCTGTAGCAGGTCGCCCAGGGCTGGCTGCACCGCTGGCGCCGCCCGCAGCAGGCAGCGCGCTGTCTCCATGACTTGCTCTGTTGTGCTGCGGAAGCTGTAGTCCAGCACCAGGTGCAGCGGTGTGCGTCCTAAAACATTCGGTGCAAAAATCAGCTCTGGTGCTGCCTCCAGCAGCAGCTGCACAGCTGCTGTGTTGCTGCTGTAGGCGGCCATGTGGATGGGTGCATGATGCCGTGAGGTACGCATTGCGGCTGCGGCGGGTGCCGCCAACAGCAGCAGCTTCATCACTCCAATGTGCACCCACGCTCAGCCGCATGGTGCAGCGGTGTGGCACTGTAGCTGTCCACTGCCAAGGCGGTGGCTGGCGCAGCCTGCAGCAGGAGCCTCACCACCCCCTCATGGCCTTTTTTGCTTGCATGGTGCAGCGGCAGCCTGCCTTTCGTGTCAACTTGATCCGCCCGAGCGCCTGCCGCCAGCTGCTGCCGCACCGCTGCCTCGTCGCCAAATCTAGCTGCGTCCATGAGCCCGTCTGCCAGCGCCATCACACACACAACAAACCAGATAGCCCTGCAACAGGCGGGCGGGCGGAAGGGCGGGCGGTTGCGATGGTGGCAGCGCGCCCAGGCTTATTCCCGGCCAGGCACCAACGCCCCAACTGCTGGCAGGCACGCAGGTTGCTCCTCCACACCGCGCCACTGCTGCCAGCAGTGCCAGGAGGTTCACCTGGGGAACGAGGCGAGCGAGTCGTGACCAACCACGGCGGCTCGCTCGCTGCTGCCTGTGTTTTGGAGCACCAACAACTCCAAGCTGTAAGGAGCGGCACGAGCAGGCCCAGGGCGCGGCGCTAGCGCAGCGCTGCGCTGAGTCCCAGGTTGGCCCGTACCGCCGCGGCCACTGTCCCATTCCTGCCCCCGAATGCCAGCTATGCGCCTGCGCTGCAAACCCCAGCTGCAAGGAGGGATTGCGCTCCAGCCGGCCAGGCCGCCGGTGCCTGCTCATCTCCCATTGCACCACAAATGTCACCCGAGCGGCCATGATCATCATGATGTGGCTTGTCATTCAGATTGAAAACTTGTGCTGGCTGCTGGGCAGCAGGGCCATTTTATCAAAACATGACAGCTGTACAGAAGCGGTCCCCATCAGATGGAATGAGCAAGGCGTGTGGAGGTCAGATGTAGCCGCCAATGCCGCTGATTGGCAGCACTAGGCCTGCCCCCTGGGGGAGTCAGCGGTGCAAGCAGGCACAGCGCCAGGATGCGCCAGCTCAGATCTGCCGGCAGCACAGCGCTGCTCTGCTGCTGCACCCGTGCCAGGGTGAGCGCCGCCGCCCGCAGTCGCTCGCGCTGCCCCTCCACCAGCTGCCCGACCAGCCACCCCGCCTCGGCAGTCGAGCGCTGCAGGACGGCTGGCAGCGCACGCGCCAGGTCGGGGCATGGCGCAGGAATCGAGCGCCACTGCTCCTGGCTCAGCGGCAGGCGAGCCACTAGGTCAGCGAAAAGGAGAGTAGAGTGCCGGCTGGTGTGCAGCAGGATGCCCAGGGCTGGCTGCACTGCTGGCGCCGCCCGCACCAGGCAGCGCGCCATCTCCAGGACTCGGTCTGCTGGGCTGTGGCCGCAGCGCAGCACCTGATGCAGTGCCGTCTCGCCAAAAGCATCCGGTGCAAAAGCCAGCTCTGGCGCCACCTCCAGCAGCAGCGTCAAAGCTTCAATGTTCCCACGCTCAGCCGCACGGTGCAGCGGTGTCCACCCGTCGTGCTCCATCGCCAAGGCTGTGGCTGGGGCAGCCTGCAGTAGCAGGCGCGCGACTGCTGCGGCCGCGGCTGGGATGTACCTAAGAAAGCTCCAGCCCAATACGGCATGGTGCACGGCTGTCTGTCCCTGGTTGTCTGTCACTGAAGCCGTGGATGGGGCCGCCTCCCCCTCGTGGCCGCAGGAGCTGGCAAAGTGCAGGGGCAGCCAGCCATCCTCGTTGGCTTGATCCGCCCGAGCGCCTGCCGCCAGCAGCTTCCGCACCGCCGTCTCGTCTCCATCGCAGGCTGCTTGGTAGAGTCTGTCTGCCAGCTCCATCACGCAATGTGATCAACCAGGTGTGCCCTGCAGCAGGGCGGGAGGGAAGGCCGGGTTGGCGGCAGCCCAGGCCAGACCACCCGCTAGGCACCAACGCCCCAGCCACAGGCAGTCATGCCGGGGTGCTCCTCCCCACCGGGCCACTGCTGCGAGGCTCACCTGGGGAAACGAGGCGAGCACCTCGAAGCGAGAGCAGCCACACGCCGACCAGTGTGCCTCTCGTTGGCTGCTGCCTGTGTGTTGAAGCACACGCAACTCCAAGCTGCCGAGCAGGCCCAGGCGCCGCGCTGTGCTGAGTCACAGCAGGCCCCTCCCCCCGCCGCGGCCACTGTCCCACTCCTGCCCCCTAACAGTCATTTCAGCTGAGCCCCTGCACCGCCGTCCCCAGCTGCAAGGAGGGATGGTGTTAGTGCGGGCCAGGCCGCCGGTGCCTGCTCACCTCCCCTCCCACAGCGTGGGCCGTGAGAGCGGCCATGCTGTGGCTTGCCGTTTGGTGCACCGATTAAAAGTTGGTGCCAAACCCAGCTCTGTGCTTCCTCCAGCAGCAGCTGCACAGCTGCCGCGTTGCTGTGGTGAGCGGCGCGGTGGATGGGTGCCTCCTTTGCGCGGGCAATCGAAACCACCACTACGCCTCGTCCCATTCCCCATCCCCTTTGCTTACAGGAAAGGACAGAAGCCAGGAACACAGAAACCAGCGTAGCAACCACAGCGGTGCCACAAAAGCAGGCCAGCTCAGTTGGTGTCAGTTGGTGGGGCCCCCGCTGCTGCCCCCGCTGCTGCCGGTGGCGCGGCTGCGCCGTGCCTCCTTGTCCGCCTCCACCTCGCCAAGCATGCGCTCCACCTCTGCGGCAGCAAGACCGTGGCAGGTGGCACGCGACGTCAGCAGGGACCACGATGGCGTGGGCAGGAGGTTGTGCAGCGGCGCCGCCACTACCAATCGCAGGGGAGGGCAGCAGGCACCGGCCCGCACACCGCCGGCCCGTAGCCACATGCACTGTGGCCTCTGGGCAACGCTGGCAGCGCCACGCACGCGCCCCAGCCAGCCGGCCCCGCCGGTCCCGCCCAGCAGCAGGCAGGAAGAAAGGGCACCGGCAGCCGGGAAGCAGGGAGGCCTCGCACCGGCCTCGGGCATCTCCTCCAGCCGCTTCCTCATCACCGCCTCCTCATAGTCCTCCAGCTGCTTCACATATGTCATTTGCTGCACGGCGGGAGGAGGAAAGAAAGGGGAGGGCGTATATACGTCATTTGCTGCGAGGCGGGAGGGAGGCAGAGCAGGGAAGAGCAGGGCAGGGCGTGTCCGTGCGTGTAGGGGTGGGGCGCGATTGAAGGGGTGGGGAGTGGTGGGGGCCAGGGGGGCAGCGAGAGCGCCCGAAGGGAGGCGCGGGCAGCGGCGGGACCGCGATGCTGGCTGGAACCGCCAGGCGACGCTCTGGAGGCCGCGGGGGTGCAGCAGCAGAGGCCCACACAAGGCGGGGGGGCGGGGAGGCCAGGCAGCGCGCGCTGGTGGTGGGCCTGGGGGCCCGCTGGCCTGCAGCCTGCCTGCTAAGCTCACCTTGGTGGCCACACGGAACAGGTAGGAGCCCACCCAGCCGAAGCAGAGGCCCACAAAAATGATGAGCTGCAGGGGCAGGCCAGCAAGGCAAGGCGAGGCGAGGCGGGGCAGTCAGGCAGGCAGCCAGCCAGCTGATGCAGCCTGCCACGTGACAAGGCGGCTGCCAGAAGCCCTGGTGCAAGCCTGGGCAGGCGCCCCGCGTTTCTCCCTCCCTCCCCACCCCACCCTACCCCACATACGCCCATCCCGACATGCATCTGCAGGCAGCCAGCCAGCCGGTGTGCCAGCGGCCCAGCAGGCCAGCCCATCGGCTGCATCTGCTGCACAGAGCAGCCACACACCTGTGCCCAGTTTCCGGCCATGCCCGCATCCATGCCGGTGGCCTGCAGGCCGTAGTAGAGGGCAAAGCCCGCGCCGGTGAGGGCGCCGCCAATGATCAGCACGTCCTTGCGGGAGTAGCCGAACTCGGTGTTGCGCTGCACAGGGGGGTGGCAGCGGGGAGGGAGGGACAGGGGCAGGGCGGAGTGAGGGGGTGGAGGGAGCTGGCAGCGGCGTGGTGTTGCAGCGGCATGGGTGTCGAGATGTTGTTAAGCATGCGACTTAGGATGATGCCGGCAACTCCAGGCGTAGCAAGGGCAGCGACCGGGCAGCACAGAAAGGCAGCAAGTGGGAAGCCAGGCTTGCCTTGGGCTCGCCGCCGCTCTGGGCCCGCACCGCCAGCACCTGCCGCCGGGCGGCAGCCAGGGGCTGCGCCTGCCGCACCGCTGCTTGCCGGAAGCAAAGGGCGCTTCTGCAGGGGCGCAGGGGCTGCCGCACTGCCGCTGTGCGTGGCTGCTGCTGGCGGGAGGGACCGGCCACCACCGCGGGGGCACGGCAGGAGGTCACGATGACGCTCATTGTGCTTGCACGACACTCAAAATATGTGGATCGAAACAACGGGTCACCAGGAGCGCCCAGGGAGGAGCACGAAGAAGAGAGAGCTGGGGTAGTGGGGCAGCGGCAGGCAGCTATGCCGGGACGATGGGTGCGTGTTGATCAGAGCCAAATTGCGACCGAAGAGCCGATTCCTTCTATTCGAGCGCCGCCACGCTGTCGCGCCACCCGGGAATGCCCAAACGGCCTGTCTAATCCCAGCCGCATCCCATCCTGCTCACCCTGTCCAACCACAGTAGCTTGGGTGGTGCCTGAGCTCCCGCCGCGCCACCGCCTGTGTCAGCGGCCTTTCCCGAAGTCTCCCACGCGCCGCCCACCCCCTCCTCACACCCTCGTGCCATGGCAGCAGTCGCCTGCACCAGCGCCGTGAGCGCCAGCGGTAGCCGGCGTGCAGCGGCCCCGGCGGCGGGCCGGCCGCGCCCCGCCGCAGCGCTCCTCCGCGTGCCGCGGCGCAGTGCCGGCGCCAGCCGGCCGGCAGCCCGCAGGCAGTCCACCTGCGTGCGGGCGGTGCTGGATGCCACAGAGGCCAACTGGGAGGAAGAAGTCCTCAAGGTGAGGCCAGCTGTTGGCAGGCGCCGCCACCCAACCGAACACACTGCACAGCGCTTCCGCTGCACTTGCAGCAAAGCAGCGCCGCCCGTGCTGCCTGCGACCCGCCTCCACGCTGTCCCTGCGCCGCAGTCTGAGGTGCCCGTGCTGGTGGATGTGTGGGCCACCTGGTGCGGCCCCTGCAAGCTCATGTCGCCGCTGATGACGTGGGCAGAGAAGGTGCGCCGACAAGCCAAGCCCGGCTGCCTGCTGATCTGCGCCAGCTCTCCCCTGCTGCTCCCAGCTTCTGCCGCACCCCCACCCCTGCCTGACCGGCATCCACCTGCGCGCGCAGGAGTATGCGGGTGCGCTCAAGGTTGTGAAGGTGGAGGCGGACCCCAACCCCGCGCTCATCGAGCAGTACAAGGTGTACGGCCTGCCCTGCTTCCTCATCTTCAAGGGCGGCGCGCTGGTGGAGGGCAGCAAGGAGGAGGGTGCCATGCCCAAGAAGCAGCTGGTGGAGTATCTGGCCAAGCACGGTATCCCAGCGGCCGCCAAGGTGTGACCCCAAGGTGTGAGCCCGCGCAGGGCTAGAGCGCGAGCCGCCACGCGGCAGCCTGGGTGGAAGCGGCTGGCGCGTGCTCCGGCCAGCCAGCCCCACCCCCTCTACCCACCCCACCCCACCATGCCGATGATTGCAACGTGCGTCGCTGATGAGGCACGCACACGCGCGCACGCGTGCCTCGCTTGCCTGTGCACGGCCGGCCCGCCGCGGCGGCGCCGCCGTTACATTTCGTTCCCAACGCCGTCAGCCCACCCAACCCACCGATACGAACTCCACCATGCTGCGCAATGAATGTATGCCAATTCTTTGGGGCTGCCACCTTCCTTCTCTCTCCAACGTCCCCCATGCCATTCCCTTCAGTTTTCTGGCTCTCTGTGCCGCCTCGCCTGCTGTCCCGGCCCGCCTGGTGCCGCCCCTGGTCCAGCCATGAGGCGCCGCCGGGCTGCGGCTGATCTGTCGCACTCGAGTGAGCTCGCCCCCGTTTTGCTGCGGCCATGCCCGGCGCGAGCGCTGGCGTGGCACCCGCTGCCCCAGCGCAGCGCTTTCCCCTCCCTCTGCCTGCCTTGCTTTTCCTGTCTGATCGGCAACCCCACCCACCACACACCGCACCGCACTACACTGAGAGGTCAGCAGTAGCGACACGTGTAACACCAGTACAGCACACACCGCACGCCAGGCGGAGTGTTATCAGCTGGCACCGCCGCCAGGGTGGCGCGCTGGCGCCGCGCCGCTGCCATGATGCGGCTGCGTGGCGCGCCGCCCCATGGCGGTAGGCGCCCTGCTCATGATGGCGGCGATGGATGGGGTGGCGCCGCTTCCCCTGTGGCCACGCGGCGGGTTGGGGCTGGCGGCACGACTTGCCGCGCCGCCGCTCCCCTTCCCTTGGCCCAGCCGAGCGCCTGCGCAGCATCGGACGGCAGGGGGCGAAGCAGCGCTTGGATCCCACGCATCTGGGAGCAGCGAACGCAGGCATGGCACACAGCCTCCCACCGACGCTGTAAGCATGCATGCATGCCAGCATGCACGCCATCGCCGCGCCACGGCGCCGCACCTGCCGTGCTGGGGCGCGGGACGGCTGCTATGCGCTGCAAGGGCAGCGCCGAGTGCGCCTGCACGTGGACAGGGATGCTCCAGCACTCGGCCTTGGAGGCGGCCGCCTGGGCCGCCATCGCTGCCAGGCGCGCGCCAGCGGAGCGCGGCGACAGGCAATACTGCAGCCCATGTCCCTCCTCCACACCCGCTGCCGGCCAAGGCCCCTGCCCGCGCTCCGCGGCTCCTGCGGTCGGTGCGTCTCGGCTGCTGTGCGGGGGAGCTGCCAGGTCTGCCTCGGGAGTGCCGCCGCTGCCGCCGCTGGCACCGCCGCTGGGCCCTGCCGCAGCGCCGCCCTCCCTCGCCGCCGGCTGCACCCTGGCAATGCTGGCAAGGGCCTCAGCAAGCTCCCCAGCGGCCCCGCTGGACGCCAGGCTGCCAGGCGTGGCTGGGCGGCTGCCGCCGCCGCCCGCGCGCGCCGCCACCGACCCGCGGCGCCCGCTCTGCGGCTGCAGCCAGCTGGTGCGGCGGGGGATGTGGGCGATGATGTCGCGAGGGGTGAGCCCCGTGCCGCTGCCGTCTGCCGCCAGCGGCGGCGGCACCCTGACCGCCTCGGGGTCCTGCCAGGTGCGCCGATCCTCCAGGTCCCAGCTGTGCTGGCCAAACAGGCCCACCAGGCCGCCCTGCCGAGTCCAGATGCCGATGGCGGCGTCCTGGGCCCCCACCAGCAGCAAGCCGTGCCCCGCCGCCATCCAGCTCAGGCTGACCACCTGCGTGTCTGCGGCGCGCCAGTGAGCCAGCCGCCGAGGCAGGGCATCCGGGCTCGGCTCGCCCGCCGCGGCGCCGCCATCCGGCGCCGCCGCTGCGCCGCACAGGGCAGACACGTCCCAGGCCGCCACGTGGCCGGAGCTGTCGCCGGTCCACACCCGCCGCCGTTCCAGCTCGGCGCACAGCGCTGTGACGCAGTCCTGCGGTCGGTGCACGGCGGTGATGCGGGCAACCAGGCGGCAGGATGCCTGGCTGCCTGTGCCGTGGCCGGAGCTGCCTGCCATACCAGGCCTGCTGCCGTCGCCCGCGGGTGCAGCTTCTGCGGCGGATGCGGGGCTGGCTGCCAGGTCTGGGGGCAGGCACACCTGCCAGACCTGCAGGCCGCCATCCTCCCCGCACGCCAGCAGCAGCGGCGAGCAGCCGGCCTCTGCCGCGGGCAGCCAGCACAGCTGGCGCACCGCGCGCTCAAACTGCTGGCCGCCGTAGCTGCAGGCCGCCAGGCAGGTGGCGGTGGGCAGGTGCCACACCCGCACCTCCCCTTCAAAGTCCCCTGCAGTGCACAAACATGGCGGCAGTGGGAAGGAGGCGGTATGCTGCTGGCTACTCCACCGAAGCCACCAAAGCCAAACGCAGCCTCCCTTGCCCCCAGCGCGGCAGCCTGGTTCATTGATGCTTTGTGCAAGGCCAGCCCTCCCAGTAAGCTGCCCCCACCTGTGGCCGCGATGTCGGCGCTCAGGAGCGCCAGGCTGAGCACGTCTGCCGCGTGCCCCGTCAGCCGCTGGTACTGTGAGCAGCATGCCTCCTCCCCTTCCTCCCACACACACAGGCTGCGGCTCCACCCGGTGGCCAGCACAAGGTTGCCGCTGCCGCCGCCGCTGGTCCCTCCGCTGGTGCCGGCGCCGGTGCCGGGGGGGCCGGCAGATGCGGGCCGGGCGGCGGCGTGCTGCTGGCTGGCGCGCTGGGTCTGCTGAGCCTGCTGCTGCTGCATGCTGAGCAGGGCGTGCTCCGACATGTCCGACTCCCGGTCTGATGAATCAGCTGGCGCCCCCATGGCTTGCCCCACACCGCTGCCGCCACCCAGCATGATAGCACCAGCTGCGCCACCTCCAGCTGCGCCGCCACCCTGGCCTTCCGCCTCCCCTCCACCCGCCTGCCCCTCCTCCTCCGCCTCCCCGCCGCTCCCCGCCGGCCCCTGCCGGTGCGCAAACGCCACCGCCGTGATCTCGGCACAGCCCTCGCGGTGCAGGAACTGCCGCAGCACAGCGCCGCTGTTGAAGTTCCACACCCGAACCTCGCCGCGGTCGCTGGCCGTCAGCAGGCGGCGCTGGTTGGCGTCAAAGCCCATGGCCGTCAGCTTGTGCTGCGGGCGGGCGGCGCCCGCGGCGGCGCCGGATGAGGCCGGGCGGGCGTGCAGCGAGAAGCCGCCCTCGCGGCGCCCGTTCTGCAGGTTCCACAGGCAGATGGTACCGCCCTCGTCGCCGCTGACCACCTGCAGCAGGGAAGGTGCACGGTGCCGCCGGTACCGTGGGCGGCAGCAGAAGCCCTGCCTGAAGCCCACAGGAACTCAAGTTGGGTGGCATGCCCAGGAGCGGGCATCACACCACAGAATGCATGCAGCAACATCTCTCCTGGCGGCAGCCAGCACACCATACAGCTGCCCTCCCAGCCCGCCGCGCCCAGCCGCAGCTTGCGGCACCCACCACGCTGAAGGTTGCGTTGTAGAGGGCGCCCACCAGGCGGGAGTCGTGCAGGCGCTCAGCCTCCACGGGCAGGTGGCTCCACACCGCGGGGCGGTGGGAGGCGCTGGCAGCATGGCAGGCGGGTAGGCGGCAGGGCGGGTGAGCAGGCAGGTGACTCTGGCAGGTTGGGGGATGGCTGCTTGCTTTCCGGAGGCTGCTCTGTCATGTGGAGCCTGGCATGCTGAGCACGCTGTGCTAATCCGCCAAGCAGCAGTACACTGTCCCGCTCACCAGACCAGGCGGCGGCGCCTGCTGTCGTGACACAGGGCGGTGGGGCGGCTGTCCTCGGGGCGCAGCCAGTCTGCGAGTGGCTTGGCAGCGCAGGCCAGGCATGGGGATAAGAGAGCCACGCAGTGCTCCATTGCCGGCTGCCAGCAGTGCCTGCGGCCTCGGCAGGTACACACCCTCCTACGGCAGTCCACGCGCGCCCACCGCCGCCGCTCACCTGTGCTGCCGATGGTCTGCACGCACTTGTGGTTGCGTAGGTCCCACAGTCTCACCACATGGTCGTCGCTCAGGGTGATGACCTGCGTATTACAGGTGGGCAGCACGTGCCACCAAGGGAGCAGAGCGGTGGCAGACCGAGCAGGCCGTGAGCAGACCGTCGGTGGGAAGCTCAGCGGGCACAGGGGCCACAGGAAGGTTCCTGTGGGTGATGCACAGAGCAGCAGAAGGAGTTTCCTGGCCCCCACCTGGCTCTGCTCATCCGCCACCACCAGCTGCTACACCCCCGCCGAGTGCCCCGGCAGCTCCCCCACCGCCCGCGTCACGTTGCCCTTGGGCTGCCACAGCAGCACGCTGCGCTCCACGCCCCCGCTGCACGCAGGCGCGCGCAGGCGCAGGGGCCAAACTTCACTTCCACTGGCGAGCATTCAGCCGCTGCTCAGAAACGTACGATTCTCCAGAGCATGTCGCTGTCGGCAGCCCCTCTGCCGAGCAGACTATACCGTGGATGCCCAGAGCAGCGTGCTGCTGCGCCCCGCAGCCCCACCTGGCCACCAGCGAGAAGGCGGGGCTGTAGCCAAAGGTGCGCACGCCCTTGCGGTGCAGCGCCACGCGGGCGGCCAGCTTGCCTCGCTCCAGGTCCAGCATGCACAGCGTGGCGTCCAGGGAACTGCTGATCAGGCCCACGCCTGCGCCGGGAGGCCAACCAATGGCCGCAGCAGCACACAGAGTGGGCGGATGGGAGGCGGGAGTGGATGTGAGGAGCGGTGGCAGGGGTAGCAGCGGTGGCGGGGCGTCAGGTGGTGGGCAGCAGCGTTGCAAATTGGGGGCCGGCAACAGAAGCAAGTGCAAGCATCATGCATAAGGCATGTATGCATGCATGCATACATGCGGGTGCACTGCAGGCAGGTCCTCTCCATCCTCCAAGGAGCCAACCAACCTGGGATGTGCTGCAGGCGTGTGACCCAGTCGGTGTGGCCGGCATGCAGCACCTCGTAGTCCTTCTTGGCCGCCAGCTGGCGAGGGGTGGGCAGCAGCGGCGGGTCGCACCTGAGCAGCATCACAGCGCCCTCTGCGGCAGCGGAAAGGTGCCAGCAATGTAGGAGGCAATGCAGCAGGTGATGTTTATGGCGTGACGGCGGGGGCGGCCGCAGCAGCCGCAGCAGCCCCTTGTCCCAGCAAGGACTGCCGGCTACACGTGTGTCAGGCTGCGGGGAGAGCCGCTGCACTGCAGGCCGGCGGGGTCACCTCTACCCAAGCCCAGCCAGGCGTCCACCCCCACCTGTGTCGCCCCACACCAGGCGTGGCGTGCCCGCCCCTCCCGGCCCCCGCCCCCGATCCCGCTCCAGAGGAGCCAGGCACAGCGGCGGGCCCAGGCTTCCGGGGCATGTCAGGCGCCCGCTGTACTCGTACCCAGACCGTACCGCATCGTAAAACGTGATCTGCGGGCGCGGCAGCGGCAGCCGTCAGGCGGCGGGCAGCGGAGGGGTAGCCAGCCACCTCACTCCCTGCCGCCCTTGCGCGCAGCCCTCAGGCGCCAAGCAGGCAGCTGCGTCCCGCCTCCCAGCACCAGCCAGCGCGGCCATGCATCAGGGCCGCCTGCCACCCCGCCCCAGGCCCCACCGTGCGATCCTGCGCCGCCACCGCCAGCTTCTTCACTGCATGCCCCTCCAAGAGCGTGCAGTCTGTGACCCAGCCACCGCCGTTGGCGATGGACTGCAGTGGAGCCAGGCCCTCGGCACTCCATACCCTGCAGCGCGGAGCGGGGCCGGCTCCCTGAGCTGCTGGCCACGCTGGCTGGGCCAGGCTCTGGTGCAGGCAGAGTGCCGGGCAGCGCAGAGTGCGCATTGCAGCGTATGCCGCGGGCCAGCAAGCGGCTGACTGCTCACCCGCCCGCCTGCCCGCCCATCCACCACAGCGCAGCACCTGGAGAGCACCCACCTGAGCTGGCCGCTGCGCCCTCCAGTGATGTACTGGTCTAGTGCGGGGCTGCAGTAGGCCCGCTCCACGGCCTCCTTGTGGCTCGACCCCCGCCACTCGCTGCGCCACAAGTCCTGCACAGGCCGGCGGCAGGCGTGCAGGGCAGCCGCGCTTGTCAGGACGCTGGCTGGCGCTGCTGGTGGGCCGGACCGCACAATGCAGTGCAGGCGGGCTGCTGGGCAGGAGGAGCGCGGTAGGTGCGGGGGCACCCCTGCATGCTCGCCCCTCGCCGCCGGCGCCTCGCCTGCGCGTGCAGGCGCCAGTCGGCGCCGCCGTCGGCGCCGCCCGTGGCGGCGCGCTGCAGGAAGAAGTAGTTGGTGAACTCCTCCCAGTCGATGGTGCCGCCGCAGTCTGCATCGATGCGCATGAAGAGTTGGGCCAGCTGCGTGCGGCTCAGGCCAGCACCCAGGTAGGGCCCGAGACGCTCAGCGAACTCTTCTGGCTCCAGCTCCCCGCTGCCGTCCTCGTCGGCCTCCTCAAACACCCGCTTCATCTTCACCAGGCTCTCCAGGGTGATGGTGTCGTACTCCCCCATGCCTGCCCCAGCCGGCCGGCCGCGCGCGAGGGAGTGAGGGGCGGCTGGCGGCGGGGGTGGGGCGCCTGCTGCCGCTGCGGGCACGCCTGCTCTGTCGCGGGTAGCTGCAGGAGCCTCCAATTACAGACCCTTTGAGGCGGTTGGCCGCCCTTTCAGTCGCCCAGGCTCCCGGTGGTGGCCGTGAGACGGGTCCAATGCGAGCCGGGGGGGCGTGGCCGCCTGAGGACCGCTCAAACGGCTCTCTGATTGGTACACACCACTTCGAAACGCGGGACGCGCGACACGCGGCACCCATGGCGCGGGTCTTCTCGGCGAAGTACACGTACCGCCGTGAGTCGTCTTGGCCGAAAGCCGGCGCCGCGCAGCAGGTCCAAGCTTTGCCAGCACTGGGCAGTCATCCCACGCCATCCAGAAAGCCCGCAAACCCCTCTGCTCACCCGTTTCCGATCAACAGGCTTCTAGCCGAGTGATCGGCAGCCTTTCTCTGCGTAGCTGCCGGCGTTGCCACCGGCATGGACCGGCTGCAGCGGATGCTGGGCGCGGGGGGGATGGGGGGGCCCGGGGCGGGCGTGGGCGACGCCCCCCAGCAAGACACCAGCGAGCAGATATACATCTCCTCCCTGGCCCTCCTCAAGATGCTCAAGCACGGCCGGGCGGGCGTGCCGCTGGAGGTGATGGGCCTGATGCTGGGCGAGTTTGTGGACGAGTACACGGTCAAGGTGGTGGACGTGTTTGCCATGCCCCAGAGCGGCACGGGCGTGTCTGTAGAGGCCGTGGACCCCGTGTTCCAGACAAAAATGCTTGACATGCTCAAGCAAGTGGGCAGGTGCGCACAGGTGGAGGGGCCAGCGGCGGGAGGAAGGCGGGCGGGGCGGTGGGTGCGGGGCGGTTGGGATGCAAGCCCTGCTTCCTGGCACCGTGGACCATGCCATGTGTATGGGCTGTGCTGCCAGCGCCGGTACCTGGCTGCGGGAACTGCTGCCAGTGCTGCCTCCACGCCTGCCTCCGCGCCTGCCTGCCTGTCATTTGCCTACCCCTGGCCGCCTTGCCTGCTGCCATGCTGCTGCAGGCCGGAGATGGTGGTGGGCTGGTACCACAGCCACCCCGGCTTTGGCTGCTGGCTGTCAGGCGTGGATGTTAACACGCAGCAGTCCTTCGAGGCACTCAACCAGCGGGCGGTGGCAGGTGAGGCGCCACAGACGCGAGGCTGGCAGCTCAAAACAGCTGAGGCTGCACCCGCCGTTCATTGCGCAGCAACCCCGCTGCTGTGGACTGCGCGGTCGGAGCGGCAGCCTGGCACATGGCAGCCGCCGAGGCGCTAGCCACCTGCAGTGCTGCAGCGTGCCTCTCTCTCCAGCGTTCCGCCCTGAGCACGTGTTTGCTGGATGCCTGCTTTTTGTCCTGCCCTGTGCTGCCCTGGCCTGCAGTCGTGGTGGACCCCATACAGTCGGTGAAGGGCAAGGTGGTGATAGACGCGTTCCGCTGCATCAGGTGCGGGGCTCTGTTTTCGGTGGCAGATGTCGGGTCAGACAACCCTCAATTGTGCAATGCTGCAACAGCCTGGCAAACAGACCTGCAGCAGGTCGTGTGCTGCTCCTGTCTGAGCTGGGCTGCCGCCGGCGCCGCCTGATGCCTGCCGTGGTGCAGCCCCCAGACCATGATGCTTGGGCAGGAGCCGCGGCAGACCACATCCAATGTGGGCCACCTCAATAAGCCCTCCATCCAGGTGTGCAGGGTAAAGCGTTGCTGTCGGGGATGGGAGACCTGGCATTGCTGATTACCCGCCTGTTGTTCTGGCCTGCTGCCGCACCTCTCACAGCCTGGTGGTGGTGCAGCCGCACTACCAGCACAGCCTGTGCCGCCCCCCACCAGCCACCACCAGTGCTTCCCTCAGCCTCACCTGCAACTGCTGCCACATGTAGTGCTCATGTACTGCCCCATGCACTGCCTGCACCGCCTCGCGTGCTGCAGGCCCTCATCCACGGCCTCAACCGCCACTACTACTCCATTGCCATCAACTACCGCAAGACGCCGCTGGAGGAGCGCATGCTGGGCAACCTGCAGGTGGGGCTGGCCTCTGTGGGGTGGGGTGCTTGGCTCTTCTTGCCTGTGGATTTTTGGCAGTGGTGATGGTGGTGCTGGGTGGTGGTCGCTGGAGGAATCGCAGCACCTACATGCCGCTTCCTTGTTCCCGCCTGTCAACCCACTCGCACACACACACGCGCCGCCCCGCAGAAGCACACGTGGACCAAGGGCCTCACGCTGCGCAACTTTGAGGACCACAGCAAGCAGAATGAAAAGATGGTGGCGGAAATCAAGGAGCTGTCCAGTGAGCCGGGCAGCTGGGGGCTGGCCGTGAACCTGGCAGCTGACGGCAGCCGATTAGACTGGAGAGCCACAGTTGTGCAGCTGTTGGCAGCTGATGCAGCCCTGGCAGAGCAGAGAGCGGCTGCTAGCGCTGCGGCGCACGCGTTCTCGCCGGGGGCCTGGGTGCCTGCTGCGCCGCCTTTGCTGCTGCCGCACACTTGCGCCCTGGCGCTACCGCCTGCCTGTACCGCAGGCAAGTACGACAAGGCGGTGGTGGAGGAGGAGGACATTCCCCTGGAGCAGCGGGCGGTGGCCAGGGCAGGTGGGTGTGCCTGCTCAGCCTGCTGCCTGCAACCAGCACAGCCGAACCCAGCGCTCACGCATGCATGCATGTTTCACCGGGCCACACCAACTGTCTGGCTCCTCCTGAGGGAGGACCCCAGGGCTCCTGCTTCTGCTGCTGACGAGCTTGCGCCATTGGCACCCCTGCTGCTGCCCCTTGCGTCTGCCAATTGGTACCGCACACACGAGAATGGCACGCCTCGCTCGCATCACCAACAACCATTGCACACATGCACTCGCCCTGCAGGCAAGATGGATGCCAAGAAGCGGCTGGAGGGCGACGTGCAGGCACTGATGAGCGCCAACATCGTGCAGTGCATGGGCTCCATGCTCGACACTATCGTGTTCTGAGGGGCCCAGGGGGCCACTCTGAGCAGTGCTCATGCGCTGCTGTGCCGCACAAGGCGGCTTCCGCGGCGTTTGTATCTAACGCTGCGGCGGCACAGCCGTGGGGAGATGCGCGGTGTGCCGCTCTGGTTGGCTGCGCCAGACTCCTGTTGCCCTCGCTGCTGCGGCTGGTGGCGTGGTGTAAAAAGTAGACTTGCATTTGCACCTCCAGAGGAGGCAGGCACTCGTGTTCCCGCCTGGCGGCGGACCCGCGGGATCGTTGGCCTCGCTGGCTGATCTTTGAAGTATTCAATAAAAAACTTGTCCTGTTTGGTATACTAGGGGCCAACGTGACAGAGAATCCAAGGGTGGCAGGGCTCCCTTTTGGTGGCGCCTGCGCCTGCCCGCCTTGCATGGGCCCGCTTGCATAAGCCGCCCCAAGAGTGGCGGCTGAGATGCCCGCGGCGCAGATCTGCGCTCTCCAACTGTTTGTTGCACTCACCTGCACGCTCTCCCCACACAACGTCCCCTCCCTGACTCGGGTTTGGTGTGCACGTCTCTAGGTCACCCCGATCGCCCAGCCCAAACCCGGCCACTGCTCGCCATGGAGCATGCCAACGGCAAGCTGCCCAGCAAGCAGCCACAACCACTGCACGGCCTGCAGGCGGCGCTGCATGGGCGAAACAATGTGCCTGACACGGACCCGCTGCTCTTCACGCCCTACATAGCGGCTGTGCCGACTCCCCAGGAGGTCAATGGCTGCGCCAGCCCACCCCAGAACTACGCCTGGCACACGTCAACGGCGGCGCAGAAGCACGGCTACCCATGGCCCAAGCTGGCGGTGCTTGGCGTGCTGGCGGGTGAGGGACACCCGCAGTAGCTGGGGCAGCATTGCAGAAAGGGTGCACACGCCGCCAGGCCCTCTGCCCGCCGCCGCCGCCGCCGCCACGCCACTCCTTGCGCTGCCTGCACGAGCACTTTGCCAACGCCATGCCCCCTACCATTCCCCAAACCCCGCTCTAATCCCGCTTTGGCTGGCAAGCCGCAGGGGCCTACATCGGGCTGGGCTTCTCGCTGTGCACCCTGGTGGGCGGCCAACTCAGCGCGGAGACACGTCACGACGAGCCGGGATACTTCAACCTCCTGTTTGGCATCTATGGCTTCCCCATGGTGAGCCGGCTTGCGCAATTTACGCAATACTGCGCAGGGATGCATCCACAGACAGTGAGGGGAGGACACACGGCTGCAGGCAGGGAGTGAGGACCCCGCATGAAGCCGAGGAGGCATGGCAGCAAGGCCGGCGGCCGCGCTCCACGCGCCGCTTGCTCTCGGCGCCGCACGGCAGCACGTCGCAGCGCTGGCGCCAACTGGGACCCCGCCCGCCCCTGCCTGCATGCCTGCAGGGGCTGACGCTGTGCGTGGTGGCGGGCGCCGACCTCTTCACCTCAAACTGCATGTATGCCACCTTTGCCGTGGCAGAAGGTGCGGCGCAGGGACCCTCGGCTCCCGCCAGGCTGTCAGTAACGCAGTAGCTGCCCGCAGCGCGCCTGCGCGCGCTGCCGTGGTTGCGTGATCAGCCTCCTCGGGCCAGCGGCTCGCCGCTGCGAAGCCAGCCGGGCGGCGTCGCCAACCCTGCTGGCACGCGTGGCTCGCCTTGCAGGGCGGTACGGCCTGCTGGGTGCGGTACGCTGCCTGGTCTCCTCCTACCTCACCAACCTTGTCGGCTCGTTGCTGCTGGTGGGGCTCATGGTGGGCGGAGAGGTCTACAAGGGACGGTCAGACTTTGTGATCGAGTGAGTGGGCTGCCGGCGGCGCGTGCATGCGTGTGGCGTGCAAGCGAGGGAGTGAGGGAAAGCGGGGTGTGAGCAGGGCAGCCGCCTTGCGCTGTATGGTTGTGCAAGGTGGGAGTGTGGGGCCGGCTGCCGACTGAATGCCTGCCTGCCTGCCTGCCCGGCCACGCAGGCTGGCGCACAAGAAAATTGCTTCCAGCTTTGGCGCCACGCTGTGCAAAGGTGGGAGGCGCCGCGGTGCAAGCTTTGCGGCGCTCTGGCTCTGCGGTGTGGCACCTGCCTGCCCCGGCGGCAGAGTCTCTGCTCTGGCGCCGCCGCCACGAGGCTGACGCCGCATGCATCGCTGCTTCCTCCTGCAGGCATCCTGTGTAACTGGTGAGCGGGCCGTGGGTGCCGCAGCTGGGCTCCCAGGCGGCAGGGCCCTGCTGCTGCGCGCGTGCAGGGAGCCATGGTGCCCTGCCGCATTGTACCGCCGTCCCGCTGCATGTAGCGTCGCTGGGCCTGCTGCCTTATTAACCGGCACGTGGGCGCTGCCGCCAGCCCACCCGCCCGCTCCTCTCCGCGTGCCTCTGTTGCAGGCTGGTGTGCCTGGCGGTGTGGCAGGGCAACATGGCTCGTGATCTGGCTGGAAAGTTCATCGGCGTCTTCCTCCCCAACTCCGCCTTTGTCAGCATGTGAGGCTGGGCGCCTGCCTGGAGCACGAACGAGCGCCTGCAGCATCCATGCGCTGGCACTCCTGAGTGGCATTGAGCAGCGCCTGCCGCCGCCGCTGCAGCCGCGACAGCGGCTGCCTGCGCACGCCGGCGCCGCACCCGCCGCGGGGTGCTCCCAGCGCAGTGCCGCTGCCTCTGCCTCTGACACCTGCCTCTGACACCTGGCCTGCCGTCCCACACTGCCCTGCCTCTGTACCGCTTCGTACCGCAGGGGATTCGAGCATTGTATCGCCAACATGTACCTCATCCCCCTGTCCATGGCGCTCGGCTCTGGCATCTCTGTCGGTGAGCAACACTCCACCCAGCTGCAGAGAGGGACGTTCTCTCATTCCTCGTATCCTTCTGTCTCTCTGCGTGTTCCTGCTGGCGTGCACTTCCCGCCCTGTGCCGCCTCTACCACAGCCGCCCCCTTACTGCATGGCACACCTTTTCGGGGGGGGGCGCTGCCGTTCTCAAGGCCCTGGCTAGGCGCCCGTGCGTGGCTGCCTTGCAGCCGCCCGCAGCGCGGCGCGCGGAAAAGGTGTGCCATGCAGTAAGGGGGCGGCTGTGGTAGAGGCGGCACAGGGCGGGAAGTGCACGCCAGCAGGAACACGCAGAGAGACAGAAGGATACGAGGAATGAGAGAACGTCCCTCTCTGCAGCTGGGTGGAGTGTTGCTCACCGACAGAGATGCCAGAGCCGAGCGCCATGGACAGGGGGATGAGGTACATGTTGGCGATACAATGCTCGAATCCCCTGCGGTACGAAGCGGTACAGAGGCAGGGCAGTGTGGGACGGCAGGCCAGGTGTCAGAGGCAGGTGTCAGAGGCA